AATGGGTAAAGGGTCACAAAAATCAACTACAATGTATATTGAGAAGTTAAAATAAAAAAAAATGTATATATTTGGAGACAGTTTCTTTGAAGTTTCTCTAAATAATGATAGAAAAACCTGAATAATACTTGTGGTACTTTTTTTGAAGCTTAGTTCATGGCAAGTTAACACCAGTAGTAATAATATAATATACTTTTTACCTGTTTTAGTCGATAGAATAATTTTACAATGAAGACAGAGAAAGTTTAAGTACAGAGAAGAGAGAATAAAAAGGCTAACTTTAAAATTTTAAAGTGCTTCCAAATTATATTTTATTAAGGGCTTTTGAATTAAGCAAAGAATCTTTGCCTTTATAACTTTGAATGTAGAAATTAATAAAGTGCAATGAGGGCTTAAATTGGCTGTCCATTCATATTTATCATAGACAATTTGGGGTAAGATATGAAGCAAAACATAATATTGGTTAATAATGATATTAACCATGTGGTTAAACTATCATATTAAAATATTTAAATTCACTAAAGAGACACTTCCCATCATTTTTATATTCAGGGAATTACTGGCTGTCCACCTTTCAGGATGGTGGGCAGAGCTAAACTAGATGACCTTCCCTTCCAGGTTCCTTTATTGCAAATCTGAGGTTTTAATATTATATAACCCAAACCTGTCCTTCAAGAAAAAAAGTTACTGCAAATTCTACCTGAGAATTTTTATTTATTCAAAAAATGTTGAGTATCGGTTATGAGCCTGAAAGCATTGCAAGCATTCAGAATAAAGAAAACAGATAAGGTCTCTAGACTCACGGAGAAGCAGACAATAACCAAATAAACAAACAAATATATTATCAAGTAATGTTTAGTGCTTAGAAGAAGAATCAGTTGGGGTAAAAAAACAGGAAGTATGAACAAATGTGGAAAATGAACAGATAGAAAATTTCTCTTCTTTTATGTGACATGTAAATAGAAACCTGGATGATTCAAGAAAGAAATTTGTGGATACCTAGGGGAAGCCAATGTCAAAAGCAAGTACAAAGCTTGGTGAGGACCTGATAAGAGAAACAGCAAGGGGTTACCTTGACAATCCTTCATCACAGTTGTTTTCAAACTTTAGCGTGAATCAGAATCACTTGAAGAGCTTTTTAAAACACAAATTGTCCCCAAGGGATGCTGATGCTGCTGGTCCAGGGGCCACATTTTGAGAACCATTGCTTTAGTGAGCAAGAGAGATCTGAGAAGTAACTAGAGGTGAGGTAGCAAGGATATTTTATTTCATATTGATTCTATATAATGTAACATATATCACATAATATATATTAGTTATATTATATCACATTATTTTATATTATGTTATAGAGCTTTGTAGGCTGTAAACATTTTGCATTTTATTCTGAGTTAGATGGGAAGTCACTGGATTAACAAAATTCTTAATAAGCACTTGGCAGAAGCAGTCCATATAAGAGACTTGATTAGTAC